ACAGCCCTGAAACCAGAGAAATGGGAGTTAACAAACACAATAACCAGAAATAAAGCACTCTGTCCTGTCTTCCTCCATCGTCTTGTTAAATCTTTTACTATCCCTCTCTCTCTGCGATCACACTCTCCATCCCGTGTGTACACGTGTGCAAGACCTGGATGCTGGTTACTGGTGAGAGCCATGTGGGCGCGAGCGAGGATCGGTGCGAACTCCCGGCAGCAGGGGGAGCAGCTGGAGCAGCTGGGGTCTCCAAGCCCTCGCCACTGCCGTGGGACCGGCCACCCCCCTGTTCAGTGCGTGCCCACGGCCACACGCGGCCCTCCGAGACACATGCCACTGGTTCAGTGTGGGAGGGGGAAGGGGCAGATGCTGCTGTCCCAGGGCGTCTGGGCAGGAGGGTCCTGGGCCAGGGTGGCTGGAAGAGATGGCCACATTGTTAACATTCCTGAACGATATTGTAACACACATAAAACATCCCACCATAATTCCTGGCACTCCGCCAAGGACACGTGCACCCAAGGGGGACTGACATCCTTCTAGGCAGCTGGCTTCTAGACCACACTGGCCATTGTACAGTGTATTTTCTTCCTCTAGTACTTGCAGTATGACATCGTATGACAGGTCTGTCCTATTAAATTGTCATTTTGTTGCAGTGACAGAGGCAACGTGATTGTTCCCTGGGTACCACCAGCCTAAATTCCCAACCTCTCCTACTGCTATTGGCAACTCAAATGTCTTTCTTTGTTCTAAAATGAAGAATTCCAAAGGCTGCTGGACTCTACCTCACATGGTTAATTCTGGTCACAAGTGCCATAGACTGGAGCCTGGTTAGTGACTCTGCCAGGAAGCAGCAGCCCCGAGGATCACAGCCTGATTAGCACTACAAAAGGTCCCTTTCTTTCCTGGTTTTGTCCAGCCAGTTCTCCCCCAGGAATCCCATCCCACCTCCCTCACTTCACTCTGCAAGAGGAACTCATTCAGACAAGCCCAAATCCTACCTGGCCTCCCCACACAGGTATTTTGTGCATTTGATCTCTTCCCCCTGTGCACAACACTTCAAAATGCGCTGACATTCCCATTGCTCAAGTCAGAGAAGAGCCCTTCTGTCAGCTTCCTTTTGGACATGGACCTTGTTCTCTACTTTAGGGGTGCTTCTAGGTTGATGTGATGAAACAGATCAAAAACTCGAGGAGCAACAGAAGCAGGAAGGACATGCACAGGAGTCTTACTCAAGAAGTTTTCCAGTTTAAAAGGAACTTTCACAATTTGCTTGCAGCGTTACCTTTTACAAAGTCTTCTTGGAAAACTATCACTTGGAAGTTATGGAAAGAACTTGTTCATAACAGAGAAGTTTCAAAAGCTAAAGAGCATCCTTTCTTCAAAATAGTGCTGAAACACTTTACATGGAAGGACTAATTCAAAAGTCTGTCTTCTAGGAAAAAAAATCACAGCTTCATCTACTTGGTCATTCTTTTAATTTCTCCCCTTTGGGACCTTCAAAAGGGCATGCTGGTTTGGGAAGAAGTATTAACTGTCATGGTTTTGCTACGGGTGAAACTTTTCATAAGGAGTGAGAAGGGAGAGCAGCCTCCTATGCCTGCAAGCATCCTAATTCTGTGCATTTTGATCTCATACTTCCTTGCATTTTCTTTTCCTACAAGTCACTGCTAAACAGGATAACAAAGCTCAGCAGACCACCAGGACCAAACCACAACGACACCAGGACCGAACCACATCGACACTTTTTGCCCCCTCTGATAAAGTCACTTCACTGATAAAGGCACAGTGGAACAAGGGGTACTCCTATCTTGGACTTTATTTTCTAGTCCTGCAGCTCATCCCTGTAATGATAAGCTTAATGGACTTATCATTAGCAGTGAGTATATGCAAGTTCCCCATGAGGAAACAACTGAGACAATTCTACTCTGTGTTCCTATGGGATCTTTGCACGATCTTACTCACCGGCCATCAGATGACTGAACACAAAGCTGAGGAGCGGTGCCTTGCAGATAGACTATCAACATTCACATCTGAGACAGACTCATGAATCAACAGAATCTTTTCCAAGTATTACGGGCATCAATTCACAAATAGTTTGTGTGCCACACTCGCAGTTGTGTTGCTTTGTTGCAGTTTTCACTTAAGATAAGGACATGACTCCACGGTAGAATAACTTTTCCACTGATCTTACACCCTTGAACCTCAGCTGAGTTAAAGAACCATGATGGCATGTTTTAGTTACCACCATAATTTTTAACTTTAAGATTTTTTTGGAGGATTAACCTTGAAAAGTAACACCTACAGGAAACATCCGTACATTTTCTTTACAGTAAAAAGTGAAACTATTTTAACAATTACATCTTTGTAAGTCGCTGCTTACCTGTTTTCTAGAAGAGTGCTGCATGGTTTCATTTCAGAATGACAGAATTGTTTAGGTTGGAAAAGACTTTTAAGATTATTTGGTCCAACCCAGCACTGCCAAATCCATCACTGAACTGCGTCACCAAGCACCACATCTATAAGACTTTTAAATGCCTCCAGGGACAGCGACTCAACCACTTCCCTAGGCAGCCTGTGCCAGTGCTTAACAACTCTTTCTGCAAAGAAATTCTTCCTAATATCCAGTGTACATCCCTGGTGCAAGTGGAGGCCATTTCCTCTTGCCTTACCATTCCTTATTTGGGAGAAGAGACTGACATGCACCTCTCTACAACCTCCTTTCAGGTAGTTGTGGAGCATGTTAAGGTCTCCCCGGAGCCTCCTTTTCTCCAGGCTAAACAACTCTGGTTCCCTCAGTCACTCCTTGTAAGACCTGTTCTCTGGACCCCTCACCAGCTTCACCACTCTTCTTTGGGCATGTTCCAGCACCTCAATATCCTCGTAGTAAAGGGCTCAAAACAGAGCACAGTATTTGAGGTGCAGCCTCACCAGGGCCAAGTACAGGGGGACAATCACTTCCCTAGTCCTGCTGGCCACACTAGTTCTGACACAAGCCAGGATGCTGTGGGCCTATTTCTGCTTTGCACAGTCTGCTCCTGAAGATGCTCGCAGGGGAGGCAAGTATCTTATACGTGCTGGTCTGAGGACAAGGGCCATGACTATAAATGGTGGATGCCCCTAACCTCCCTGATGGGACTCAATGACTTTCTCTCCTTATTCAGAGGTTGTTTAGCAGCCAATACGTAGTTTCAGAGGTATCAGGAATTTACCCAAACAAAGAGTAATTTTGAACATGGGAAGGTATTCTTCTCTCAATCTGGAATTTTATAATGGAAAAGCTTTGTAATAAATCAAACCTTCATCTTTAATTTTATACAGGGAAGGAACACACAAAGAAGGGAAAACACTAGTAATTCATTCCTCACTTGCAAGATTGAGCCCTTTTCCTTATACTAGGAATTTGCATCTAAGAAAGAAAAAAAAAAATTAAGAGCCAATCCCATTTTTTGACCACTTGAAACAATGTTTTGTCAAGAACTGGTTACTCAGAAATACTTTAAGTCAGGCCATAGGTGACAAACACTTCACAGTGTAAAAGGGCATCTGAGACTCTTCTGTTAGGATGGGAAAGCAAAGGAGTTTTAAACCTGTTTTACACAGTTCACTAATTAACAACAAGCTGCTTCCTTACATAAGGGATACTTCCTTCTTGCTCTTCTTGGAAGAAAACCCTCTGACATTCTTTTTGTCTCCTAAGGAAGTTACAGAACTTCTCCATGTTATCATAGTTTATATGGCCCTGAAACAGGGTTTGAAATTAAAGAATGGCAACTGAAGTCATGCCCAAATACCAGTCCTTGGACTTGTGGCATTGGGGCATGACTCATTCATCACATCTCCTGAAAAGCTGACTACAGAATCTCTTTGATCAAGGTGGATGCCCAGAGGGCTCTAGTGTTATTGTGGCAAAAGACTGCAGACACCACATGAGTACTTCTGTACTAGATTCTCCAGTCACTACCCTGAGAAATTCAATTCAGCAGCAAAGATAAAAGTGGTTGCTTAAGTTTTTTGGGTTATTCATCTTTTTTTAGAATCAAAAAAAAAAAATTCTTTTTCCCATCAGCAGACAGAGAAAATCTGGAGGGCACAAGCCTGCCTTCTGGAATTTTCAGTGAGATAAGAGGATCAGGACAGGAGCATTTATTGCAAGAGATCTTCCGCACTGAACAGAGGTGACTACACCTAATGAATTTCAAAACTCTGACATCTTAACCACAAACAGGTAGTTTCAGCACTATTTTGAAATATCAATTCTAAGGAAAACTTAAGTCATGACCACAGTTAACACTTACACTTACAGAATTTTAAGTAAAAGTGAAATACACACACATAAAACCCAAAAAGAATCAACTCTGCATTGTAAAATATTAAATATTCACATATACGTATTCCAGTAATTAGTGAAAAAATGGTATGACATCACCTTCTGCTGGATTGTATAGGAAAACATTAGTGCTTTGGCATAACTGAACTTCACTTTCCTACTTTGAAACACCAGTGCATACACTGTGTAGTAAACACTAACACCTGCCCAAACACCACTTGACTTCAACCAGTTATTCACCCAGGCTACCACAGATGCACAATGTTTTGTGATCAAGCCTTGTAAAATGATCTGATTTTCTCAAAGACAGTCTGTCACACAAGTGTTACCACACTCTTCCATTCACTTGCAGACATCTGTCCCTTACACTTCCTCAAAAGCAATTTTTTTCCCCAAGTGTCCAGGAACAAATTTACCACTACTGACCACAGCAGCATTAGGAAGAACTACACGACCAGTGTACCTGATTGCTACCATTAAAGGGTTTGTGTAGGCTTGCTCTGAGTTTACTACAGCTCATGTTATGTCGATGCCAACTCACCTACGATTGGTGGAGCAGCACCACCAACGTTAGAACAACAGCTGTAAACATTTCTTAGTAGAGCCCCTGCAATGCTCAGCCCACACAACAGCTGCATTACCATTAAAAAAACACACGCTTTTGGTTTTTTTATTTCTGTGGCAGAACTTTTATTTAGAGGGAAATTATAATTTTTGCATTTACATGGCACAAATTATATACAATACACTTTCCATGAGAAGAATTATGATGCTGTTCACAGAAAGGTATCAAATTTGAGATAAATAATGCATAAGCTAAAATATACAAACTGGGAGTGGAGGTGAAACTATTGGCCATTTTTAGTATCAGTAGAAGAATTTAAAGGAATAATGTTAATTCAATGTCCAAAATTTTTTAACAAACTTCTAGTAAAGTTAATTTAAGTATTTATAATACTATTCAGTTGTTGCACAGTATTTCCAATATACAATCAAGAAGATGCACAGAACACAACACTTAATATGAAAAAAAACCTATCGCACCCACAATTTAAAGGTTTCACTGCCTTTTGGATGCTGCACTACCATATTTATATAAACATTTACAACACTTCAGTAAACACAAAGGTTCTAAATGTAGTGCAGCATTATGGGGGGCCACTTTCAGCTCTTAAAAATAAATGTTAAATGCCCATATACTGTGCCATTTATTCTAAGCTGATGGTTTAAGCTGTAACCCTTAATTCCTACTGTGAGTAGCAAACACACTGTCCCCACGTTCAGAAGATTACCATCCCTCTGACTACATACGCTATATTCTGAGACCTAAACTGCCCTCAGCTTCATAGTTATTTTGGCATTTTGCCTCAGTGCTTGTGACAACTATCCCTTATATTATTTTTTTAATGTCCTGTTAAGTAGTCCTGGGTAGAATCTGAAGCAAAAGAATCTGCATCTTCATTATCAGAATCATCACTACTGTCATCAGCTGCTGGTTCTCCTGTCAGCGCTATCCGGGCATAATCATCAGTGTCTATAGACTTGCAGAAGTGAATGGCATACTTCAGTTTTTCCTCTAGTACTTGCTTACAGGAATACCTGGGCAGCTTCAGTAGAAAGAAGCAAGTGTATGACTCAGGAAGAAAGTGGTCTGGAGGATTGTATTTATCCAATACCTGGGGAAAACAAAAAGCATCATGTTTTCTATTCACTGTCCAAACCACAAATAAGCATCAAAATAATACTTGAGATTTTTTTTTTTTTAACAGCATGTTAGATCTGTGATTCTGATGCTGAAGTTTCTTAAAAAAACAATGAAAAGACCAAATCCATTTTCCCTACGCTAAGTAAATGAATAAAAACACATATATGTGCTTCTTGGATTATGAACATGTGGTTTGGAAGAACCTAAAAAAGATCATATTACTTCAGCAAATACAAAAATATGACTTGAAGATCATAGTTTCTTAATTCAGCTGAAATTATTAACTGAGCTGAATGAAATTCTAAATAAATGCCAGCAAAACCAGTTCAAGACTGGCAGTGGGAAACTATCAAAACTCAGAGAAGCAAATGGATAGGAAATGAAATGAATACCCACTCGCCCAAGGCAAGAGAGAAAAATATTCATATACATTATACATCTCTGTTGCACTATTGAATCTACAGTGTAACGCTGCACAGTTTAATGAGCTCAGCCTGTTCTCTTGTTCTGTCATGCTCCTACTTCTCCACTACCAGCTTTTAAAAATAAAAAGCCCACACCCCAGCCCATACACCTTACCTGAATAACAAAGTCCCTCCCTCTGAAGTCTGCAATAGTCCTGGGCAGCCTTGTTCTGCCCCACACGAAGCGCAGGAAGAGGGATCGCTCTGTGTTGGAGAAAGACTCCATCACTTCCCAGAACCACTGTATCAGGGAAGCAGTGGGTTCAATGCCTTTGTAAGTTGCTACAGACTTCAGAAGGTGAAGGGGAATATCTGGGCTTCCACAGACCTGAAAAATAAAACACAGCGATAAGCTACAAAAGTCCAATCAGATCAATTACAGGTGATTCATCCCCTCTATTCCTTTAAAATATTTAATCAGCTTTTACACTAACTAAATGAACATTGAAATATTTGAAGTACTGTCTATAGTTTCCTATAACAATAATACTAAATACACATTCTCCCATCAGGGGAAAATAATGAACCTTCTTTAATATTTCTGAATCACATAAAGAATTAAAACATTTTACTTGTGATGAATAACTCCAATTCAACTCCTGTGTCCCTCTTTTGTTGTATTTGTTTGTTTGTTTGTTTTGTTTGCCTGCCTGTTTCTTCCAGAAAAAAATTCATCACTGCTCAACCATATCAAAATAACCTTATTAACACCAAGAGGGCAATTAAATATTTTCTAGTCTTTCCTTGGACAAAATGTTTGTAATCACAGAGCAATCGCTGTAAATAGTATTTAATGTGGATTTGGGATTAGTAAAACGTAAGTGAAGAATCTCACTCCAAGTTAGTCTGACAGAAGTAGCAAAGCAGAAATTGATACCATAGTTTCCAGTTCATATCCTGTAAACAGTGAAAGCAGAGGAACAGGAACAACACGGGCCATCCCCTCACGAACTGCTGCGACTTGTTCGTCGAATTCATGAAGTCTGCAGAGACAAATTTTTGGAGTTTCTGTGAGTGCCATCTCTAGCAATTATTTCTAGCTTTTAGTGTAGTATCAAGGAACCTTTAACCATTCTCCCCAAGTCTCCAGCTATGTGCCAAGGACCTTTAATAAACACCTATCACACAAGATAACTTGGCTTCTAACAGTTTCTACATCAATTCATATTGCACAGCAAACTCGGTATGAAGAGAGACCTCTCAGTGTTTAGGGTACTTTATTTCCAGTATTAGTCATGTACTCTGCCTGGCAAGAACAAACCAATGCCCCACTTGGAAACAACATGCTCATGGGATAAGAACAGCTCAGCTTTGAAACTGTCCCCAAACACTCCCAACACTAGAGAGACATTATGGTAAAAGAAAAATGGGTCTGAACTAAAACATGTCTGAGGGAACAGGAGTTCTTGTATTTCAAGACAGACACAGGTAGGTCTAACATTTTGCTACTTCTGCTGCCACCCGTGATTTGTGTTTTGCCTTTTTTTTTCCCCCTCTCCTGTCAAATAATTTCTGAGATGTTTTAACAGTGTTCCCCAGAGCAGAGATTTGAATCATCGACAAGACTTGTCCTCAGGCTTGTCATCACCAAAATAAACAAAGATGTCAGGACAAACTTAGGCCTTTTGCATCCACTTTTTCACATAGATGCTATTCAGGTTCTAATTTTTCTCTCAAGGGCTTCATGTAATTAAAAAAAAAAATTGATACTTAATCTAAACATTTAAGTGTTGCCCCCAAAGGCCTTTTATAGAATCATAGAATGTCTGGGCTGGCAGGGACCTCCAAAGCTCATCTAGTCCAACCCCCCTGCACTAAGCCGGGACAGCTCCAGCTAGATCAAGCTACTCAGAGCTTCATCCAGTCTGATCTTGAATGTCCCCAGGGATGAGGCCTCCACCACCTGTCTGGGCAACCTATTCTATGGGTCTATCACCCTCATATTGAAGAACTTTTTCTTAACATCTAACCTAAATCTCCCTTTTTCGAGCTTAAAGCCATTCCCCCTTGTCCTGCCAGTACAAACCCTTGTGAACAGACCCTCCCCTGCTCTCCTGTAGGCTCCTCTCAGGTACTGGAAGATTTCTTATTGTTTTAACTGTAAAACACTTTAGAATTGCTTGTGGTGAGGGTAGCCAGAACTGGCAAGAGAACAAAACCATTTTTTTTTGAAGAAATATAACCAGAATACAGACATATCATTCCAAACACAATTCCTCTCTATTGTCAAAAATGGGTTTCAGTATTGGTTCATAACCATACCATACAGTATACTGTATATAGTCTTGCTCAAGCACTAACAGAAACAGTTAACTGTGGCAGAGAGAATAAAACAACTATGAATCAGTTTCTCAGCTAAATTATCTAAATGTCCATATTTCAATAGACACTAGGCCCCACTGCTTCACCTAACAAGATGCCTGTAGCTGCTTCTTAGACACGCTTGTCAAGATTAGCTATCTAGGTACTGAAGTAACCAAAGGCCTGTCTTCTCAAATACTGAACAATTATTTCCCAGTCATTTCAGTCCACTGTTCAGCTTTTGGCACCGGGGGGTGAATTTACTTGTCTGCACAGAGGTGTCAGACTTATTTTATGGTGTCGAAGGAATGAACATTTTGTTCTGTGTACTCAAACTTAGATAAGAATAGACAAAGAATTCAGCTGGGACTGCTCTTGACTGCAACTGATGATATGAAAAACTGTCAGAGCAGTAGCACTAAACCTAAGCTCTCTTCACAAAGAACTTAATGATCAAGCCTATTACTTTATCACACAGGAAGAACTAGATGGATGAGACATTTCTCCACCTGTAAGCTGGCTGCCAAAACTGCTCTGTCAGGACAACTATTCACATCTAGAGCCACACCTGTTAATTTATTTTGTTTCCTAAAGATTAAGCTTAATCCTTTCTCCTTGGAGAGATTAAAAGAAATTAGAAAATCAAAACTAATCACACGGAAATATTAAAATACTTGTATATAAGAGGTTAAAGGAGTATATTGTTTAAAAGCTTTTATGTATTTCTTAAAAGAAAACACTTATTCGTGTCAATAATTGGAATGACTTATTCAACAAACCTGTAGTTTATTGCCAGCCTCACATATTCGGCTCTGTTATCCAGTGTAATATGGGTGTACTTGGAACTCAGCTGGATATCCTGACCACTTGCATTAGGCACAGTGAACGGGAGGCTCATAGCTTCAAACTCTTCTGAAGTAGCTTCATTGTCTCGGATGTACATAAGCCCAGGAATAAAATCTTTATCAACCTTTTGAAAAGAACAAGCCCCAGTTAGACTCAGTTTCCTACCCCTGCACAAGAGCGTCTCTTGCACATCAAAAGCAGTGTACCATGTGTCATCTACCAAAAGCACTGTCAAATGTCCAACCACAACCCACCTAACTTAATTTCAAAGCCATAAAATGGCTTAATATTTTACATAAAATTTCACTATACTGGGATGTGGGAGGGTGCATGTGTTCTAAATTTCAGTCCTTTCGGGGCACATTTGCCAAGAAATTGTCTTACACAAGAAAATGGATTTAAAGCCTCAAAACACCATCATTTTTAGAAAGTCCAGTGCTGGATTTGGTAAAAAATTAATCCCTTTACTGACAAGTAAATGACTCAATGCGTTTACAGTAAGTACATTCTTACATGACATATTTGAGAAGTAATTCTTCTTCCTAACAAAGACATAACTCTTACTCCACTTTTATTTAGTTCAGTAAACAGAAGTTGAAAGTTTATGATGTTCAGTATGTGGGCACAAACTATTTTCAGTAATAGTTTGAACTCACTTTATTTCAAAACAGCGTAGGCGTGGGCACCAAATCAATTACTGAAACTTGGCACAACAGACAGTAACAGCTACAGAAAAGTCTACTGGAAAGAAGTTCAACCACAAACATCTGTCTAGCCAGACTGTTGAGAAGATCTGAGAATGCTCTTGAATTCAACTAGCTTGTTTAATTACTTCTGAATGACTTAAACTTTCACTTTTAGCTGAACGAGTACGAGTCATCCTTATATACTGGCTCAAAATGTAAAAGGCCAGTAAATATACAAGTATACAGAAACCAGGAAAGTCCATCACTGGAGAAAAATTTATGCTAGGGTCTGCTTGTCTTCGGTAAGTTATATCCTACTCAGAACTTCATACTTACCTCACTGAGATCAGCAATTGTTAGGTTCATTCCTGCAAGCTGTTTCCACACTGGCTCAGCCAGGTTGAGGCTCAGAGGGCTGCCAGTCCGGATAGCAATGCCCAAAAGTACACCTGCAAGTTTAAACAGAGTATTTTTAATTTTCAGAGGTTAGATTCACAATATTTTGATCATGTAATGCAAACAGAATGTCATAACATTGCTAAGAGATTACCAAGAAAACGAAACATGTTCATATGCAAGAGTGACTTGGCAGCAGGATTTAATAGGAAACAATCTCTGTTTGCTCCAGACTCATCTCTTCCATTTGGTGTCACGATTAACAGAGGGGTCAGCCCATTCTGAAGCTCCTCGCACATTTCTGCTATTGATTCACTGTAACCTCCACCACAATCATCCACAGATTCACCTTGGAGAGGAAAAAGAAGGCTCAAAATTAAGTGTTCTTTCAAATATAAATAAAGCAACGAAATAAACTGCATTTTCTTCCACAGGGACAATTGAGCAAACAAAAGTTTACTAAAAGCTACACTGTCTTATCTGTTCATCTGAAAATCCTTTATGTTTTGCTTAATACTGGGATATTTCCAGTTCACTGTAAATTGTAGGATTTACAAGATTATACAACATATCCCAGTGCCAAAAATACTACTTTGCCAGAACATTATACACTAATCAAAGTAAAATTGAGGTAGAAAAAGAAAGCCAAAGCAAAACAATTCCTAAGTGACATCTTAAAGTAGATATATTTTATATATCTTGTATACAGTAGTTAGAATGTCTCTTCAATCTAAGACATTTTCTCATCTAAAAGCTCCAAGTGATATGCAAATGGTAAAAAACAACCATACCAGTAAAACCAACTATTAAGGATTATTTACCAATTCAGACAGCAAAAAAAGAGGTCTAGGTTCTGCAGAACGTGTCATGTGCGCAGAAGAGCTGCCCCAGCAATTTGAGAATTACAGACACATTTCCACTAGTCTTGAGTTTTTTTAAAAATAATTTCAAAAGGCTTCTTTAACTTCCTAACATTTTAAGCACTTTTCTCTGCTAAACACATACATTGTTTTCCTATATCACTTCCTTCAGGTTCTCCAAAAAAGTAAATCTGATGAAAACTGCGTCAGTAAACGCAAAATAGGTGGGGGGTGAAGAGTCCTCTTACCAACAAACTTGACCTTCCAAACACGGTGAGGCAGCAGCAGGCTGTCGGGGCTGAAGGAACTCATCTTGGCACACATCTGTCCAAACACTGACTTCGTACCGTCAGGCCCCGCCAGTCCTCCTTTACTCCTGGAGCGTTTCACCTGTGGAGTAAGCACATCATAAAAGCCACTGTAGGAACGTGTTTCAGCTGGCATCACCGTGCAGAGCAGACCAGAAGAGTGAAGTTTATAAGATACTAATGTGTTCAGTGAAACATCTGCAGTTTTTGTTTATACACGACACATACAGAAGAGCCACCAAATTTCAAATTACAGCACTACAATACTTTTCAGTACCATCTAATACACATCCCTAGATACAGATATTGCAGACTCCTGTTACACACACTGACTCCCTCCAGGACGACGAGAGCACTTAAAATCTCAGGCTATTAGGAGTCCAGAACTATTTCAGAATCACATGATGGTTGAGGTCAGAAGAGACCTCTGAAGATGATCTGGTCCAACCTTCCTGCACAAGCATGGCTCCCTAAAGCTAGCTTCCCAAGACCATGTGCAGACACCTTTAAAGTAACTCCAAGGATAGAGACTCCACAGCATCCCTGGGCGACCCGTGCCAGCACTTGGTCAACCTCATGGTGGAGAAGTGCTTCCTGATGTTCAGAGGGAAGCTCCTGCGTACAGTTTGTGCCCACTGGCTCTGGTCCTGCCTCCGGGCACCACTGAGCAAAGTATGGCTCCACCTTTACACCTTCCCTTCAGGTACTCATAAGCAGACATTAACAAGATGCCCTCTGAGCTTTCTCTTGTCCAGACTGAACAGCTGCATCTCTCTCAGCCTTTCCTCATAGGAGAGATGTCACAGTCCCTTAGCCATTCTCGCGGCCCTTCACTGGACTCTCCCCAGTATGTCCATGTCTCTCATACTAAGCAGCCCAGCACTGGATTCAGCACTCCACTAGCACTGAGCAGAGGGGCAGAATCGCCTCCCCCAAACTGCTGGCAAAACTCCTCCTGATGCAGCCCAGGAGACACATTAACCTTCTTCATGGCAAGGGTACATTGCTGGCTCACATTCAGCTTGGTGTCCACCAGGACCCCTATGGCTCCTTCAGCAAAGCTGTTTCCCAGCTGAGCAGTTCTCAGCATACGCTGGTGCCTGGGGTTGTTCCTCCCCAGGTGCAGGACTTTACATTTCTCCTCATTGAACTTCATGAGGTTCCTGTCAGCCCATTTCTTCAGCCTGTTGACATCCCTCTGGATGGCAGCATGACTCTCTGGCACATCAACCACTCCTCCCAGTTTTGTATCATCAGCAAACTTGCCAAGGGGACACTGCACCATTATCTAGATCATTAATGAAGATGTTGACCAGGACTGGACCCAGCATTAACCTCTAGAGTACACTGCTAATTACTGGCATTCACTGGACTTCATTACCACCTTCTGGACCCAGCTGTTCAGGCAGTTTTCAACCCATCTCACTGTCTGCTCATGCAGACCCTACTTTGTCAGATTGTTTGATACAAAAACAGGACCTACCTAAACATTAAGGAGTAAGATTTACTGGTTCCAGGATAAGACCTGTTGCAGAAATTGCAGTGCAGCCTATCTCTGTGACATAGCTGTTTAACTATCACTGACTACTATGACTATCACCACTTATACTCACTGCAAATTCCAGCACCTTTGTACCAGAAGAAATTTTTCAACTAATGCTTGGATTTGCACAACATAAAAAACAATTATCTGGTTATCTAGATCCTCCCACTAAATGTCCTGAATTCTCCTGACAATGCTGAATGACTGTTCTAGGTAATTTCTGTGACCTGACACAGTTACAACTGTTTGAGGCAATCTTAGTTCAAGCATAACTGACCACAATGATGGTGTTTACATTCTTTAAATGAAAACAAAAAAAAAAAATGGAGGTTGATTAGTAATTTTACTGTTAGAGCTGGAAGCATGCAAAACCAATAGGTGTGTTCACTGCAGCTAGACAGAGTGATTCTTACCAGGTCAGCCAGCAATCTTGTTGGCTTTCTTCCCTAGATAAAGAATTTTATGTTCCCCCAACCACCAAGACCTTACTTGTCTTCACTTCCAAATAGTTCATTGTCCATCTGTCTCTACTCAGCACTCTATCTGCTCATCTTTAAAGGAAAATAGTAAGACTGAGGGGTATAAATGACTGAATTTGTTGATAACGTTTTCTTCCCCTGTTTCTGAAGAAGCAGACAGTGCCCTGGTAAATTCAGTTTTTCTGGATTACAATACACATAGCTGATGCATCCTATCTCCACTTACACATACAACTGTCAAAACAGGGTAAGATTTTTATCCATAAGACAGATCAGAGGCTGTGCTGTTGGCCAGAAAACTGAATGGATGTTATTCTTATGTTCATTAATGACAATATTTAAATATGCATCTATCACACTTACTAGGAGCCCCTAAAAATGTGTAAACTAATACATATGTATATACACAGAGTGATGTGTTTATTAGGCACCTAGAGAAAAAAGTGTGGTTTGAGACTTGATGAAGGTCCCTAAGAAGCAGCATGCGAGGAAAATCCCACTGCAATATTTTGCTGCAAGATTCACTGTTCCTTTCAACTGCTGTGATAATATCTTTCATCTAAAGGCAAAGATATGATTTAACAGCATTATGAACGCCTGTCCATTTGACACCACATGAGCTCACCAGTACTTAAGCACCGGGCAAATCCAATCTGCTAGGAAGAGGGTCAGTAAATGAACTTGAGCACTGGAATCCTGTTTAGACACAACTCTTGGCTCACTTTCTGGCTCAGTCTTCAACCACTTCTATTACACCTCTCCAGAGCAAGTCACAGGTGCTGTTTTGGAACATTTCTGCACAATATAATATATATACTGTAAGATGAGTTTTCTGAAAGCAAGGGGACCCTAAAGCCTAACTGCAGTTAAATTCACAACTGCAAATAAGATGAAACTCTTAACATTGACAACTAGCTGTCTGACACTATGTAAAGCAGCTTTGAATCCTCAGTTAAATAATACAGATCCTTTGATGAAATGGTTTAAGACTCCACATTTTCATTCTCTGCAAAAGCTAATGCAAGAAGCTGTGACCTGTACTTGGTACTGTGCTATCAGGCCAGATTATGAACATGGTCCTTCTTAGCCTTCATTTGGCTAAATCTAGGACAGACTCGTGCTACAGCAAAATTCCATTTCCCTCAGAAGCTATGAGGAAGGGAAGCCCTGCAGCTACTGGTTCTCTTCTAGAGTTCGAGACAGATTTAAATAATGAACTGGAATACCACATAAAGCCTACCTTAAGTCATTAACTCAACAGTAAAAGGAGGACAGTAGGAAATGAGCCCAAACTTTAGTCACCATTTTCCTGCTTAAATACTTGCACCACTTTATTGGACTTTCTGATTTCATACATGCACACAAAATGTAACCAGAAAATCCCAGGCACTCTCAGGACTAAAACATAACACCTTAATCACTTAACATTACCACAAGACATGTTAAGTGCCCACAGAAAATGGCAAGGGTTCAGGCACAACCGGATGTACTTCTGATCACTAAGACAAAAGCAGTTAGTGAAAAGGTTCACAATTCCTCTATTCTAACCTTACAAAGAGTAGGTTTTCTTACGTTACACAATATACAAATTAAAAGGAAAAAAAAAAAACAAACAAAAAAAAAACCCACACCAGTAAAGGAAAGAAATGCTTAAGGACTCCCTAAGACCAGGCTTCAGTCCACTTAGACAAAAACAATGTTTTACTATTCTGTTACAGAAATATCTAAGGAGGAGGGACATATCTGGCCTAAGGCACAAGATTACATTTTCAAACGTCAATGATAAGGAAAATAGCTCTTTTGTATCAAAGAGTTCTGCAATCAATATGACACCATGTGACGACCAGCAAAGGACAAGAACTTACCAGCCTGATTTCAAGGGCTTTTTTCTTGTCTTTTTCCCCCTTCGTGTTCTCTGTTACGAAATCAACAGCTGAATAATTCATCTGACCATTTTGAAAGGCAAGAATGGCAAGAGAACGACTACTTCCTCAATGTAGTGAGTTTTGAAAAAGCAGTCCTTTAGCAAACAGGACATACTTTGTTCGTTAAAGTCTAAATCACTGACTTAATATTTTGACAAGTGCCCCCCTCCTCTAAAACAACTATAGCATGGATTGAAACATACTAAAAAGAAATTGAGCAGCCCTTGATGCATTTACTTCTTCATTGTTTGTTTCTCTGACCAAAATTCTACTCTATACTACTCAGAAGCCAAAGAGCAGAAGCAAAAGGACTTGACAAATGTATAGGACTGTGGACTAAACATACAGATATTAAAATCAAAATTTCAGCTAGAGTTACCTGTATTCTGTTGAGCTCTACAACTGGCCCATGCTGACGATCTCTCACCATAGTTGCTTGCACAACTTTTCTGAAAGCTGCCTCCTAAAAAAGGAAAACAGAAGAAATTAAAATAATGGCAAAACTGCAATCAAACAAGAAAGTTGCACATATTTCACAGATAAACATGTATGTAGTTCAAACAAGGCCAAAAAAAATATTTTTCAGCAGAATAGAGAAACTGATCCTGCAAAAGGCATAACACCTCTGAGTTTTTCTTGATGAAAAAAAAGGAATCAAGCATCAAATACTTCTGAAATACTGAAAATAAACAAGAGCACCAGAAGATAAAGCTGTGAGATGTTAGTTAAGTATCATGTTATTTGTGCTAATACAATTCAAGTCTGAAACAGCTGGGATACTAATAAAGCAAAGAAGGAAGCCTCTCCTGTATCACTCCTGTGTATATGAAGAATAACAAATCACTGAGAAAAACACCCCAAAAAGCCAAAGTTGAGATCATCTTGCAATGGAAGGCAACAAATTAAAAACAACTTAAAATAAAAAATGAACTATAATCTTAACGTGCAAATTCCAGCATCTGAGGTTCTCTCACTAAACGTTTGGATCTAATTTTACACCAGCAGTTTCAAGCAAGCTTTAAAAAGATTTTCAAGTATCTGAAGGTAAGCCTGGCTGAAACACGGTCATAGATACAATTGCAGCATTGCCACTTCCACTGTCTCTGTTGACTGCTTTTAACATAAAATATGCCTGATATCCCATTTTATCTTACATCTGAAACCTTTCTGTAACTGTTCTGCAGACTCTTCAAGTAAATTACTTGAATGTGCCTCCTGCACACCCACTCCTGTACTTAACATTATATATCTAAAGACTCCCTATTAATAGCAGAAACATAAAAGTGGCATGAACAGACTAGCTAGGATTTCCCTTTCCTTTTTTCCAGTTTAGGTTTTGATAAAAAAAAAAAAGTGTGTGGTGTTCTCCTGGTCTGTGAAGCATGTATTCTGCTGGAGTGCTCTACCACACAATGTTACAGGGAGTCTAGAGAAAGAGACTTTGAGACAGTACATGCTAAAGGCTACAGGCCATGTGTCTTACTGAAGGACACAGAACAGCACTGCAGAGGGAAACTTAAGAGCTCCTCTTCTCAAATATGTCTCCCAGGAGGTTTTGTCTGTTTATATAAGATTATCGTTTCATGTTAGACAAGTTACAATGACAGTGAGAAAAGTCAGATCCAAAACTGATGATCATACTGAAGGCAAGTAATGTTTTCAAAGGCTTTCTATATCTGAAGTTTTGAATAAGTGTTGTAACCTTGAAGCATTATAATTATCTAGGTTTTCTCATGACTGACTTCCCTTACAACTGTAAAAATCCACTTTCTTTTAACAATTTGAGATTTAACTCTCAAGTATGCTGTCTTCACTTTTAGACCAGTCTAAAACAAGTTTGCACCTTGTTCAGCCAATGACCAGGCCCAACAAAAATGATACCACCAGCAGGAAGATGAACCAATACACAGACTGTATTGTAAACAAAAACGTTATGACATGAATGATCACTGGGGGTACAAACAGATCAATCAGCTGGTACATAATCGACGCCACCCCCAACGATCCCACAAAAGATGTGGCTCGGCCCACAACAGGTGGTACAAACAGTGAACCGAGGTTTCCCACAGTTGGCATGGGAAACAGCCAGACCAGCAAGTTAAATACATAAGAGAAAGGTGCCCACATGGTGACTCTCACCCCATCAGCCCGTGTTCACAAAGGTCTAAACAGACTGGGGCCCAGCTCCAGGGAGAGTCAGGAGGTCTGCCCTGAACCAGGAAGCTCTGTGGAGGGCACTCCACAGACAGACACTCCTGACTCCCTGCCAGTGGTCCCAGCTTTTATCCCCAAGCAGACCCCTGACCTTTGTCAACTCAATGCTGGACCCCTGGGGCTCATTTCCCTTCTGGCTCTCCCTGCAGGGCCGGCCGCCCCCTGGGGGGAAGCTATAAGGCAAACTCACCACCTCTGTATGAAGGACTGTGGGAATCACCCACATGTCAACCTTAATTCGGGGGTCGGGGTTCAAACCCCAGCATTTCACACCTGCACAAAGCTTTCGATCAATTAGCATATAATCTGATCATGACAACTGAAATATATATATAAAAAAAAAAGACCATTTCATGCCCATCTTATCTTTTTTTTCAGAACAGCATCTACTGAATACCTCAGAATAATTTGGCTATAAAAATAAAGCTATTTTCCACGTCAACACACAAAGGCACTATGATTAAGAACTGACAAAAACATAATAAAAAGAACATAATAATGTTCACAACAAAAGAAGTTTGCATAACCAGAATGCAAACATTTGATATACAACTTACACAACAAATTCAGATATACAGTTCTATTTTCTTTGGAAACTGTTTAAACAGTACCTTTCACTACAGTTACAAACCACTACCCTGAAAACATTCTGATAAATACCTTTCCCTGGGATATCAATATTCCCCGTAATGTATCAAACCCAACTGAGGGTCCTTGGCCAGTTTCATCAAGTCTTCCTTCAAGATCAAACATTGGAATGCAAGGACAGAAGAGCTCAGAAATGTGATGCAGCAGCAGAAGCCTGTTTCTCAATGAAATGATGGGAATTTCTTGCAGATGATTGTACTCCATAGGAACCTATGATAAGGCAATGATATCCAAAAATAACTTAAACTTATTACATACTTTATTTTATAAAATTTGTAGGTAAATTTGTATTAAAAATTCAGATATTTTCTTGTTCACAGTCAAAACCTAATACACAGAGTTGTTTAGAAAAGATGCTAATAGCACCTATCTAAACTGGAAGAAGTATTAGGAATATGATGGTTGGACTGTTCTTGTTATTCTGTATTTTACAATTATCTTTATCCATAAACAGAAATATATTTATATCCTGTAATCGCTATACCTACCCATTATAGCTGAAAGACAAAATATTAAAAAAACAATTTCAATGTAAAGCAAGTATCTTGGAAAGTATAAGATTTTAAAAGCTGGAATACAGAATTAAAATTCCTGCCAATTTGCAAACTGAGCTGCTGTTCTACATTGGATTAACAACTGAATGAAGAGGCTTTCTCACCTCACAACACTGGAACTCTTCTTTAAACATGGAAGTAAAACAAAGTAACTGGCTCAAACTCCAAGCTAAATCCAAGCACATTGAGCTTATGCAGGGATTTAGAAGGGAAATACATCTACTCAGAGATCAGCAGTGAACATGCAAGGTATGTTTAAAATCTGAAAGCAATAAGCCAAAAATATTACCTGTGTAGGGAGCTTGCCAGCATTAGCAGGTTTACTGGTTGACCAAGCTAATGTATGTGCTGAGCCACAGGCTACTCTGTTGATCTTTTTACCCTGGAGTGCTGCAACCAAGCGTGGTCTTTGGATGGCATTAGTTGTTCCATCTCCAAGCTGCCCTTCATCATTATCTCCCCATGTATATACTTCCCCTAAACCAACAAAAAACAGTAATTGTTTTGAAAGTAATTCTAGAGGCTGTCTTTTTTTTTTTTTTTAAACAATCATTTGTAAATCATTTAACTGAACGAGGCCTTGGACTGTAATCAAGATTTCTAGGACTGATGGCCACCTGAGATCCACTATTTAGTGCATATAAATCTTGAATGCCATGGTCAGGCCCCTGGTCTATGTAGAGTAGCTAGCGTATGCATTTATTTCTTCATAGTTTATATAACTTTAAAGTTCTGCTCCAGAACGCAAGGAAATGGTGAAGAACAACAACAGATACACCAGAAAGACTGTATTTTGTGGTTTCATAGTACAAAAAAAAAAGCTGATATCATAAAAAATAATTAGGAAAAACCTAACAATTTGTATGAGACAAAAGAAAAGATCCTATAATAGGTTGTATTTTTAGAGAGGACATTAAAATGGGTGCTTACTGCTGCAAGACAAATAGAAAATACTTTAAAAACAGCAACCTTATTTTTGATTACCCATTTTCTGCAGGGGGATCCTCTTTCACTAGCACTTATATAACACACAGTCACTGTGCAGACTTGTTAGTTACATGTGGCAGTGAGCCTACTACCAACACTCAGTATCTCAACCTGCTCTCTAAGAAGCAATATTGTTTGTGCAGTGCTTCCTTTACCAAATTAAACACCTCAGAAGGCTCAGAAGACCCTGTGAAACAAAAAGCCAAATCTATTTATTCTCCTGCTTGACCAATCTGTAATTACTTTTAGAGCTCTAGAGCTCTAGATTTTCTTTGACCATCAGCATTTATGAAACAAACTTTTTATTATTATTAATTAAAACCTTTCAGTTGGTTTGATGTGATCATTTTAAATGAATGACATGTTTGCTGCTCAGGGACTACGCAACATCTGCAAACACAAAATACATCCATGGCCCATGAAGGACCAGCATTTTTAGCAAGAACAACCTACCAACAGCTGACTAAAAAAACAAATTTATTTTTTTTTCTTCCAAATTCAGTACTAAGAATTAAGCAAATTGTTTTATTTTTATACCATCTTCAGTGCAGCAAACACAGTGCAAAGATCCAGTAGCAATTGCAATGACTTTCTTTCCTTGCAGTCCCTGCACTTGCCGTGGTCTTCTAACATGGTCATCAGATCCATGGCCTAACCGATGATAATCTCCTTTGCCCCTGCACAGAGAAGGTAAAAAATTTCAAAACCGTGTTTTATTTGTGGGAAAAAAAATGGAACAACAGACTGTGTCTGATATCTGATCTGTAGATGTATTGATAAACAGTGTAATACCAAAATATTCTCCAAATATTCCACATTAGCCATCCCTAGCTTGTAAGATACGGATGTGATATACTGTTGATAAAGTAAAGATTCTTAAACCTGCAACATGTTGTTCCTACTTATTCTTTGTAGGTCCTTTTACCAGCATTGCAGGTTTTCTTTTTAGTTTTTTTCCTCTTAGAAGGATCAAGTATTAGAAGCATTCATCTGTAAAAACAGTACATTTACTGACCTCAGAGACTGGAACTTTGTACAGTTTAAAGGTATCTCTAATGCTGTACAAACAAGGGAGCAGAAGGGTGTTGGGAAGGCATTTTCATTAGCCTTTTTAAACACTTGAAGGCTAGTAGTTTAAACTACAAAATCTGGGATGGCTTAAGAATATTAAAATGATGAACTGAAATTCTCAGACTACAGCCACCACAAGCTGGACACAGTTTTGATAACACATGAGAATGCTGTTTGTGTTATCATCTTCCACCCTGCATGACACTTCAGGCTTATACTTCTGCTGACCCCCTTGGAACTTCTGCATCTTGCAGTGGTCAATGCCTGGAAAGACAACTCTGTACTTAGGTCTCCAAGACAAAATACTTTCATTTTTCATTCAGTTAGCACTACAAAATATTCCCCAAGTGACCAATTTTATTACTGATCAGGACCGAGGTATTCAAAAAAGTTTTTAATAGGAGGACAGAATCAAAACAGTGAAGGCAGTATAACACTAATACCTGTTGCAGACAAGGTTTCATTTAACACTGTCAAAATAACCAATACAAAATACTTACCAAGTATATACTGCTCCAGATTTCGTAAGAGACACAGAAAACTGTGATCCACATTCAACTTTAATGACTCCAAGGCCTGTGAGGGAATCAATCTAGCAAAATAATAATAAATTAAATCAAGGTTAATTAAGGAGACTATAGTTTCACAGACTGCACTATCTTAAACACAATGTGAAAGTATGTGTCTATATGTACATTTATAAATTAAAATATGTACATAGATCATTGAGCAGAATTCTACTCCTTCCATCCTTCCACCATTTGCTACTTACACATTACAAAGCAGCTCAGATTTCGCCAACTATTGAAGATCATCTCTAGGATGTTTTGCCACCAGTTACTCAGCAATTGCCCTTAGCAGAAAGGCTGTGTCTCCAAATACTCAACATTAATCATCTCTAACTCCTATAACATGGATATGATTCTGCTGATACAGTAGAAGTACTTAAGCCACCAGTACACTCTTCCTGTTTATTCTTTGTAGGTCCTTATGCCACTTTACCATCAATCCTATGGGACTGATGATGGATAGAACATAAGCTATTTTCACATTGTATTACGTCATGCAGTAGAGAAATGTTATTTGGGACATGCTGGTAGATTTTATCTATTTGGAAACATAATGGGGACATCTCTACCCAAGTAATAAAGTGTGAATCTGGACTAAGAATCCAAAATCCACTGTACATTGGTATGCACAGTGACACTCACATATATTTCTCAAACACAAGCAGTGTTCATCTTCATAACAAGTGCCGGAATTCAAATTAGATGGCTACATGGATTTAATTTGTAACATAGGAAAAAACTTCCAGCAAATGATATATTCACACAAAAGGTTTAATATCAAGTAAAATTACTTTTTAGCCAATTAATACACCTTTCTGGAATGAAGTTATGACTTCAAAAGTGTTACAGAAATTTATTAAGACAAAGAAATATTAAGATTTCTTGGCAAAATCTAAACCTTTCGACAGAAACCAAAATTAAAATGAGAAATTAGTGGAACCAGCAGTGCACTCTGAAGAAAAAAAAAAAATTAAGTTCAACAGTCAACAAAAAATTTAAAGAGTTATCACTGTAGACTACAAAGTTCATTTTTAACAACAATCAGAAGAATCCTGATGCCCTAGAATGGGTGAAAGTTTGCATATACTAGCAAATCTGGCTTCAGCACTTGACAACAATCTCACGGTTTCTAAAAAATGAAAAAAATTATATTCAAATACCTTCATTGGTACTTTACAGCCATCACTGCCCCCTCTCCCAAGTTTTCCATAATCTCCATCACCCCAAGACCAGACTGTATCATCATCAGTCAGGCACAATGTCTGTGCATCTCCACTGCCACAAGCTATGTCAATCACACGGTAGCCCTGGAGAGCTTCCACCTGTAAAGAAATCATCCATTTTTTGTTCATAATGAAAGACTCGGTCATTTAGTTTCAGAAAAGATGACAAACCCAACTTAGGGAGGTGCTTCACTGGAACTACGAGCCTGAAACACCACAGGAACAAGCAAATATAGGCAATTCAAAGGACTCTGCTGTTTTCAAACCAGCAAAGTGAAAACTAACTATGCATTTTAAATATTGGGTTATTCTTTTTAATTGGTGAACTACTTATATTTTTTTGACCTAAAAAATCAGGGAAAACAATTCAAGTAAAACATATAAGGTTATCAAAGACTGTATTTTCTTGAAATGATTTCAAGCTCTCTGAATTGGTATTGTATACAGCAAGAAAAAAAAAAAAAAGTCTTATTTTCAAATTCTCTTTTACTATAATACAGTTTTCTAGCACTTGCATCGCAGCCTGAATTTAATCAACCTCTTTTGAAATGCTGCCATCTAGTGATAAGGAATGGGATTTGGAGTCACAAAGTAAAAGGACAGTGACTCATATGTATCATTGTACCCTCCCCACCCTCACCCCTACTTCAGATAGATTATAGGCAGCACAATCCACCACCTGAAGTAGCATGGAACTTCACCTACTTCAACTCATCTACAGATAATCTGTTTTCATACTAGCCAAGAACATGGAAGATGGAAAGATGTATAAAGATGTACAAGAAGGGTGGGCAGACCTTGGGTTTTTGGGGGAGGCAGGGATAATGAGAAGATCTGGATAGAGGTGATAAGGTCCCTACATGGACTAAGAACACACAATACCTCGTCCCACAAATTCAAGCACTGAAAAAAGTCAATACTTGCATGAACAGAAATATATTCACAGGGCTATGAATAAAATAACCCCTAATGCTCAGTTTGATTCAGTTAATGCAATCTTATCCTTTGCTGTATTTTCAGCAAGAGAACACAAGTAGCAAAAAGCACTCTCATTTCAAAAGTAGGGCAGTTTTCTTAATACCACTGTTCTAACTGAAAGCTCTTCCAGCCTAGTTCACAGGAGTACAACGGGCTGAATTACAGCTTGTCAGCTAATCAGTATACTCATTCTTCCTACATTCCATACTGGCCAAGTTCTCAGATTTCCCACCTACAAATCAAATGGAAACAGCCATCCTCCTCATCAATAACTGCTTCACTCAAATTACTTTAGCAGATAACAAATATTTCATAATTACCTAGGTTAAATTCTTATTCACTTAGTATACATGTCAGTAACACCTCAATATTCAAATAATGAGAATTAAGTTTATAATTATGATGTCAGGAAAAAAAAAGTAGTTTGCAAGTGGCTAAGTGGCTACCACTACAATCACTGGTACATTTTCCAGGAAGTAAACAAAGAGAGGGCCTAGTGGGTTCCCTACTGAAAGCAACACCTTCGGAAACAACACCTTTGTTCCTTTCAGTGCAAACTACAGATGGGAAGGGGTGGAATTTACTTCCTGGGGGTTGAAGGGCCGATTTGGAGTTTTGTTTAAGTCTTCTCCAAAAGAAATTCCTTATAAGCTGTTTAGTGACCTCCAGCAAAGTTTTACAACCCCACTTTCATTTGATTCCTCCAATCCATTCCTGTTCTCTAAAGCAACTGCTCATTTCTTAAAAATGCACATCACCATCTTGTCCTTTCGTTCTTTATGTGGAGAAAAGCAAAAAGTTACAAATCAGAAAGTAAGAACAGAACTAAGACTGTACAGAACTCCAAAGGTTTCTTACCAGTTTAGGTTTTAGTTGGTCCTCACTGTCTCCATGCCCAAGGCGTCCATATCTTCCCTTTCCCCACGTGAAAAGGTCTCCAGCAGCTGTGATACAGGCGCTGTGTGCCCCCCCAGCAGCAATGTCAACCACTTCTATACCTCTCAGGGATTCAATCACACGAGGCCGATCGCAAGGGCTGAAACAAAAGTATTTTTCTTGACAAAACTTTTAGAACAAAAAGTTCATGTTCATCAATGTATGGAAGGAGGTTTTTAAAATGAGTATGAGGACACCTAAAGTAACTGAGCTTTTGCTCCAGTTTAATATCCTACAGTTTTACGCTTACTTAGTCATTCAGAAATACTTTTAGAGGCCTATAAGAGCTGGATGTAGTTTACCATATATTATAATACAGCATTACAGATAAGCTGCAACTATAAAACCAATTCCACTAAAAAATACTCAAACCTAAGCATTTACCCTGGAAAAAGCAGTTCAATTTAAGACACGTTATCAAAATTTCTAGCATAAAATGTACTGTTGCCCCCCAGGGACTTCAGCATTCCTTTTTGGCATTGGATCAGAACATCACTAACACAACAGAACTTTTCCTTTTCAGGTAGGCAACAATGCAGTTGTTGGCAGAATAGCAGTTTTGTTCCTTTAAATGCCTTAAAGCTCCACATGCCTACAAGACAGATCCCAAAGGAAAGCCACTGGACTTAAGCATCAACAGATATGTTACAACACAATATCTAATTACAGAAATCAGAGTAACTATCTATCTGAAACATTTTTTGGTTCTCCAGTTTAAAAACGTACACTTCTACATCACTACTTACATCACTGCTTAATACTGACTACTAGGTATAGAATCATAGAATCATTTAGG